AATCGCTAGACACACGACACAGGCGACTGGACAACCGATATCGCGTTTTACTTTGGCCAGAAGACTGCACGGTGGTGGTCTGTTTGCACGACGCCCTGTACGGTGTGTGCCTCTAACGCCTGCCTATCGGTGAAGGCGTTCTCTGTGGTGCCGGGAACACCGGAATTGGAGAGAGAATGAATGGGAACGAGTACTCTTTACAGATGAGAGCAGATTCAGTCTGAGTAGCGATTCTCATCGCATACTCCTCTGGAGAGAGCGGGGAAGCCGCTATCATCCCTCGAACATCATTGAAAGGGACAGGTATGGAGGTGGCGGTGTTCTCGTTTAGGGAGTCATCATGCTTGGTAGTCGTACAGACCTTCACATCTTCGACGCAGGTTCAGTCAACCCGTTATTGTAACGAGATTCTTCTTCCATATGTGCGTCTTTTTAGAGGCGCTATGGGTCCGCAGTTCCTTTTCATGGACGACAATGCACCATGTCATCGCACAGTAGCTGCCGAACAGCTCTCAGAGAGTAAGGATATTGAACGTATGGATTGGCCGGCACGATCTCCGGATCTCAATCCCATCGAGCATGTATGGGATTTTTCTAGGCAGCCGCTTGGCAGCTCGTACCTTACCACCAGTAACGATTCCGGAGCTTCGATTGGCGCTGCAAGACGAATGGGCAGCAATGCCTCAACAACTCATTGACACCCTCATTCTCAGCATGGGCAGACGCTGTGAAACCTGCCTAGCAGTCAGGGGAGATCTTATGCCCTATTAAAGACCAGATGTTTCTTGCTGGACACCCATCACAGGGATGTTTCGGCCTTCAGTCGCATTGCGCTCCAGGGTACATTTTCAATAAAGCTTCTTTTTATCCCTCTGATTTCTCTTTTAGTAAGTGTTGCTTACATTACTCATGTCCTTACGTATTGGGGATCTTACGGTATTAAATGTGTTGATTTGGAAAGCTTTTGTACAATGTTATATTGAAAAAAACCGTCCCGTCCTTAATTTTTGCACACCAGTGTATATCTACTATATACTGCCAAAATTTTCGTTACGTTTGGTGAAAATTGCAGTTTTGTCCCATTCTTGTCTTGAAGCACAGAGCAAAGTGAGAAATACGATGTCCTGCATTCAGTGGCGGTAGACGAACTTTCACCTTTTACTTGTTGAACTTTCACCTAGTTACTACTAACCATCGGACTAAGCTGTCCGCTGATTGCATCCTGCAACAAATGCTCTTAATTTATTTCCTCAGTGTCAGACATCTTAAATTTACTGCCATTAGTAACATAAAGTCGGACATTATATTTAAATTTTTAAAAAATAAACTAGTTTTCTGTACATACCTATGCGTTTTAATGTAAATTACAAGGTAACCAAAAACGTTTTTGACGTTTATGATATGATTTTTGAAAAGAGAACCCTAACATAAAAATAGCTGCCGAACCTGGCGATGAAGTGATTAGGATGGGAGTCCGGAAATTGTCCCAAGAATATAAAAGCACGTTGCATCGGTTCTTCAAATATAATTCACACAGAGACTGATTGAAATGGACGCGTCAAAGGCTCTTGTACGGAATTGTTTGGTGTATGATTTTAAAGTGGGCGTGTCAGCAGCAGAATCAAATCGCCGAATTTGTCATAGGGATGATGCCATTAACAGAACGAACCGCTATTCAGTGAATCCAAAATTTCAGGTCAGGGGATATGTCTCTTAGTGATGCATCACGCAGCGGTCGGCCACAAGCACTGGACGATGATACCCTGAAAGCAGCCATAGAGAATGACAGTAGCCAAACAATGTGGTGAGCTTGTTGCATACTTCCAGGTATCTGATGAAACGATCGGACTCCATTTGCACCGCACAGGGAAGGCATACAAGCTGAGCAAATAGGTACCCCACTCGCTGTCCGATGCAAACAAGTAACAGCGTGTCGCTGTCTGTTTGTCATTTCTTACTCGGCAACGCAGTGCATCCATATCTGATCGAGTGCTCACCGGCGATGAAAGGTGTCTCCCGTATGACACATCCAGACAATCCAGACATTTGTTGTCACCACGGGACCCTGTATCTCACACTGAGACACCTTCTCTCCACTCACGCAAGATCATGCTCTGTATCTAGTGGACTAGTCGCCAAGTGGTGCACTATAAGCTCCTGCCAGCGTGCAAAACCATAACGGCATTTTTGTGCTCGCAGCCGTTGGAACATGTGCACCATACACTGATGTATAAAGAGCCAGCATTGATCAATCGTAAGGGTGAACTCCAACTACATGACTATTCGAGGCCACATGTGGCTCGTGAGGCCAGGGATCCCCATCCACAGACTGGGCTGGGAGACTAACTTATCCACCATAATCTCCAGACCTTGCGCCAACAGATTACTACCTCTTCCATTTCCTGGACAAACATTTTCGTGGAAAATTCCTTCAACAACCGGCCAGACCTCGAAAAGACCCTCACGGATTTATTTGAGTTCGAGACTCCTGAGGTTTAACGCAATGGCATAGCACAGTTAGCCACTCGCTGGCAAAAGGCACTGGATGCCGATGGTGATTACTTTGAGGATTAGCAGTGATAAGTATTTGTTTTATGATTTTTCTTTCTGACTGTCCGAAACGGCAAGAACGTTTTGGTTACCATGTATTTTATTTTATTTTATTTCACAGTTTATAATTTTTAAATATTAGGGTTTACATTAATCATTATTTAGCTTTTATAAAGTATTGCATTATTTCATAATGTTAGTAAGGAATATATTCTTTTTTATCTTACTTTATCATGCATTGAAATTAAACTTGGAATTCGTATAAAACTTAAGCATTGCCTAGGTTATTCAAACGCGAAAAATCTCTGCAAACGATAAACATTATCGTCGCCGCAAACGTAGATAACGACAATTTTTTATATATGATTTATGCAGCATTGGTCTACTGCTATCAAATGTCTATTTTTACTTAGTTTATAAGGTATTTCTCCGCCTCCTTGGTGTAATGGTTCTGCACGCTGGGCCGGTATTCCAGAGGTCCGTGGTTCGATTCCCGGCGAAGGCGGTTGCTTCTTTTTCATCTCTCTGGTTTCCAAAAAAAATCCTAATGACTGTACAGTGGCGCCCGAACTAAAAGGGTGTTGGGTGAGGTTTCTCAACACCCAGGATTTGGCGATTGGGTCTCCTGAAAACCCCAGTCGATCTTTAAAAGGGGGAGTATATAAGGTATTTCTCACACTTTCCTATCGTGCCTTCGTGGTGTAGTGGTTCTGCACGCTGGCCGGTATTCCAGAGGTCCGTGGTTCGATTCCCGGCGAAGGCGGTTGCTTCTTTTTCATATCTCTGGCTTCCAAAAAAAATCCTAATGACTCTACAAGTTCACTTTTAATAATAAATATTTTTTTTTCCTGTATATGAGACAAATAATTTAGGTGCACATCATGTTTTATCTGCTCATTTCTTCTCAGGACGAATAAGAGTATTTTTTATCATAATGTAAGCCCATATTTATCGCATCGAAAGGCAATCATTTGGAAAAAAAGAAGTTCTTCTACAGTATTCTATATGATACATTATTCAAGGAAAATGACTTACATAGGAATTATTCCTTGTTCTACAGATTATTTTGAAATTGCAAGTCTTGTTTCATATCGAATTTGTGTCTTATAGTATTTCATGCTTGAGCATTTTCCCTTCTTTGTTCCTATTCTTATTAAATAAAAATGAAATATTTTTTGTCACAAGAATTGCTTGGGAAATCCTATCTTTCTTCTTCTTCGGTTTCGTAGAATCCGCTTTGTAACAAGAATAATTCCGCATGTAGCGAAAGAAAAGGGTTTTTTATATCAAGTAAAATTTTGTTTTTAACTACTTATTAATTATATACGAATTATTCTGTTACCACAGAGCATATTTTTATTAGAGTTTTACATTGATCATTTATTTACCATTTGTTTTATATATGATCATCTCCTTGCCCGCGAAATAACATTTTATAATTTAGAAAAAGTCATTTTTTTTTGCTTACTTGTGCGAAGTAAAGGAAGCACTTTAATCGCAAAAAATTTCGAGTATCTTATTGCAACGAAAATATTCATTTAAAACGCTCTTGAAATCATTTGAACGATATTTACGTGACTATCTGTACGTACAGACAGAATAAATAAAATCTTTGCTAAAACGTATTGTGAAATGGATTTAAACCTATATATTATTATTAGACCCTTATGCTAAAATGCATATATTAAAAAAATTAAATTTTAAAAATTTTAAAGAGCACAATTTCTTTCTTTATAGTACATAATATCTATTTATAAATGTATAATACATTTATTGTTAAATGTACATATTTATAATATGCATATCGGTAATATATTGTTACGTTATTTTCTTCCTTCACGTTCGTACGGGGTTCGTAGATTTGGAGTGAATAACGACGGCACTTGATGAAGTATCGAAACACACTTTATTTACCAGTATTGTCATGACAGCTTCAAAACACGTTTTACAGTCGTCGAACTACTATAAACACGCTGTCATGAACAGCGACACAGCCTTCAGGTTATCAGGCTATCACGATGGAGACAGGCAACTCTAAAACTGCTTTGCGAGACGATCTCACCGCGCTTACATTTGTAATTATAATTTGTGCTTTTATTATAGACAGATTTTATTAGTTTGGATGAAACTCGTTATCTCAGCCCAGAAATCTACGGCCATGGTCATACCGCGTCCAGGTACAAACCCCACGAGACGACCTTGTATTAAGCTAATGGGCAGAAACTTGAAAATCACCAAAAACGTTGAAATACCTTGGAGTCACGTGGGACCAAGGCTTGACCTGGCTACCACATCTACAAGAAGTCAAAGTCAGAACAGCCAACATTGCAAAGAAAGCCAGGCAGTTTCGGGGACAAAACTGGGGGCAGAACCCTTACATTCAAAAACTGCTCTACTTGACGGTTGCAGAAAGGATTGTACTCTATGCCTCAGCTATTTGGGCACTACCAATGGGCAGCCGTAAAATAAAAGCCCTGTCAACAATACAAAGACCTTTTGCTCTCAACATTAGCAAGGCATATAGAACAACCGCGACAAATGCAGCACTTGTGCTTACCGGGCTCACACCCCTTCACATCAGGGCCAAGTTAGAAGCAATATATGAGCGGGTAATAAGATTAAAGGAGAATGCTGCACTCGACACCACAGTCTTCAGCACGCTGCAGTACGAAACACCAGGCAGCACACAGCACGTGCACCCAGCACATAAAAACTCGGGCATACACGTCAAAATAGCAAAGAGATCTACGCCGCGAATAGAGGATGTACCAGTCGCCTCGCAATTCTACACAGATGGCTCCAAACATGATAACGGAGTGGGTTGTGCTTATGCTTATTATGAGCATGGTACACTTCACAGTCAATGGAAAGGTCATCTTGCAGCTCACAATAGTATCTTCCAGGCGGAGGCCATAGCAATTGAAGCGGCAATACAGTACGCACATGACATACAACTTGCACGAACAGAAATCTGCACAGACAGCATGTCAGTGCTGCAGGCATTAAAGAATCATCATCACACATCTCCCATAATCCTGCAAATCCAACAGACATTGCATAGCAACCAGCAATCTAACATCAAGCTAAAATGGGTAAGAGGCCACTCTGGGATCGCAGGCAATGAGATGGCAGATCAACTGGCCAATGAGGCAGCAATCAACAATAATGCACAGGCTGTCTCAGCACTAATCCCGTCCGTTTTTAAAAAGACAACTAAGAGACATAGGGAATAAACAATGGCAACACGAATGGGAGAATGGAGATACCGGCAGAAGGACTTTCGAATTCTACCCTGTAGTAGATAAAGAACGCTTACAGGCCATACCCCCTTTAGTAAACTATATCACGGGGCATGGCCCTTTTCCCACCTTCTTTTATAAGCGTGCTATTTCCATGACAGAAGCGTGTGTGTGGGGGGGGGGGAAATGGGGAATTGGCTCCCCCGACCACTACGTGTTCAACTGTAGCCTCACGACGAGCCATCACCTACCATATCCCACTACGGATATAGTACCTTACAAGAGGTTCATCATCAAACACGCACCTGCGATAAGAAATATATGTAAAATTATACAGCAGCTGAGCGCCCTAGGGCAGGATGTCTGCCAACCAACATAGGAATAATAGCATACACAGCGCAATAATTCTATGTCTCTATTGTAACTTAGCAGGTGTTATGTCTAAAATTGTAAATATGTAAGTGTATAAGTAACTGTGTAATGTAAGTAATGTAAGTAATGTAGTGTAATGTAAGTAATTTAATCAATGAGTGTAATACGTCGTACTATGTGTACTTTTAACATAACGTAATCGGTAATGTAGTCATTAGCGCGTGCCCCATGTGTATTATTTTAAGTAACGCATATATGATTATAAGGCAAAGTATGTGTGCCTATCTTGTTATATAGCATAATGTCATTTAAGAAGTAATAGCAATAATGTAAACTATAAGTAATCCAGTTATAAAGTAACTTAGCAAGTTCGCAATACCATTAGCTTAACGTAGTATACAGTCAGGTTATAACTCTAATAAGTGTAGATTAATGTCATGCATTATGTATGTGTAGTCTAATGTCATGTGAAGTGTAAAGTATGTATGTACTAATTCATGCAAGTATTATGTATAAGTTTAATGTCATGTCATATATCATGTATGTAATGTTATGTTTCATGTATGCATTATGGCCTATGAACACCCAGGTCAACCATTAACATAAGAATCTGTACAGAACCAATGTCAAACTGGAATAGCCCTTGTATGGCCATGTAAACTTTTTCATGAAGGCTCAGTAACTCCCGGTGCGCCCTTGTGGGACCCCAGGGAGTTCTTGTATCTATATAGGGGAGGGCGTGGGACATATGCCTGTTTACCTCCGTTAAACACCAGGCGTCCCCGTCCTCCGTCACCTGTCACCTGTAATAGTGACAGACAGAATCAATAGGAAGCTTTGGAAATTTGTTTGAGGATTTCCGTTATTCTTTCCCCCCTCAGACTCTCTGGAGACACATAAATTCATAACGAACGAGAAAGTTTTAAAGTGTTTTTAGGAATTTCCTTTTCTCCTTTTAAATTCTTTGAATTTTTAAGTCGGTCCGAAAGTTTTATATGGTTAGCAACTCTGATGCCTATTCCAGGTTATACCTGTATTTTGATTTGCTAATTCAATGATGGATCGACCTTTATCAGTAGAAGTTCGTGATATGTTATTGGCTGCTTCAGATGACGAAGAAATAGTATCAGAGTAAGAGTGCACCTTTCTGAAGCATCAGAATTGTAGTAGAAATCAGAAAATGATGAAACCGAAAATGAATTCGTAGACTTCACCCATTTTCGAAACGATTGTTCGGCTCAATGTAGAAGGACCCTTAATTGCAAACAGGTAAACTAACTTCGAAGGATATTTAGAACTTTACACCAGGACCTGCTAGATACTCTACAGCATACGCGAAAAGAAACTGTACTTCTGTGCCTAGATGAATTAAATTTTACTTGCTAATATGTACAAAGAGTCTGAAATGCAGAGCTGTTTTAAGGGTATGAGCTATGAGTTTACAAAGATTATTTTATATATATCAAACGTTTTGAGAATTGATAACCGAAAAATGCGTTCCTGTAAAAGATAAAAGTATAAAATTGCAGCCATTCAAGACGTATGAGATATATGGGTGGATATAGTGGGAAAATGTTTTAACCCCAGTGTATATGCCACAATTTATAAACAGTTGGTTTTGCTCGAGGAAACTTCCCTTCCAACAATACGTGCCTAAAAATCAGTAAAATATAGTATAAAAGGGATAATCTCTGGGATAATGAAACCATTTATGTGAGGAATATTCAGCCCTACATTGGGATGCCAACAAACCAACCACGTGAGAAAAATTAAGAACATGGAGCTGTTCTTGATTTTGCTTATGATTAAAAAGGACATAATATAACATGTGAAAACAATTTTCTCGTATGCACTTCTACGGATGTTACTAAAAAGGAATACAACAGCGATTGGGACAATGAAAAGAATTAAACTTTCCATTTGTCCTGAATTGCTTCAAACGAAAAACAGAGAAATTTATTCATCAACATATGAATATATGAATATATAAGAAAAGATGTTACATTTTGAATGTGACTGAAAATTATCCTTAAAGGGGGGAGATGATAATTAGAATTTTGAACCAAAAGACAATATATTAAAAAGATGTTGAGCCATTCTTGACTAATATTGACGAAAACATTTCTTTTGCTCACATTAAAATCCATATTAATAGCCTATATTTATTCATTATTATTTGTTTGCATTTGTACACTGAATGTAGATTAAATAGGAAAATTAGAAATTATGTATTCAGTTTCTATAATTTTCACTTTACATTACTGAGATAAACTCTTTAAAATAATGAACTAATTTTGCACATTTTCGCTCATTTTTGAACTTAGCTTATAAGGTATTTCTCCAGCCTTCTTAGCATGCCTTTGTGATATAGTAGTCAGCATGCTCGACGTGAAGTCGAAAGTTCCGTGGTTCGAGTCCCCGCGAGTACATATCTCATTTTTCATGCCTCCTGCTTCCAAATAACCTAATGTCTTTACAGTGGCGCCCGAAATAAAAAAAAAGTTGCTGGATGGTGATTCTCCACCACCAGGAGTTGACGTTTGTCCTCTACTCCCCAGTCATCTTATAAAAGGCGGAGTATATAAAGTATTTCTCACGCTTTCTTAGCATTCCTTAGTGGTCAGCACGCTCGACACGTATTTGAGAGGTCCGTCGTTCGAGTCCCGGCGAGGTGCATAGCTCATTTTGCACATCTCCTGCTTTAAAAAAAAACATGCCTAATTCTCTACGAACTTTGATAGAGATAAATTTCCAAGTTTTAACTTATAAAACGAAAGATTTAACATTAAAGTTTTGAAGAAAGAAACGAATATTTTATTTAATTGTTCAACAATAATGCATATAAATTCACAAGCGATAAATTTCAGGCATCAGCAATATCCTAAATTTATAATGAAAACTTGTATCCTAAAATATGTCGCCAGAGTAATTGAATATAAAAATTCCTTTGATTACAAATTTGAGAACTGACTTTCTTTAACGACATAACTTTATAAAGTCTATGTATCTTGGGAAACATAAACTTTTAAAAGGACTCTTGAAGAATTATCGTCCAGCCTTTGTGAAACTAAAACAGAGATCACAAGAATGGTGTATAAGACCCTTTTATTCGAGCAATATTAACTAAGGACCCAACTTGGGTTACAGGAAGCCAACTTTTCTGACTTAACAGAAATACATAACAAATAAAAATTTGAAGGTGTGGTAGGTTAGCCTAACGACTCACAGAATACTTTAACGAGCAAGAAGAGCTCTGGTCTGTAGTAAGCGGGGAGACAAGCCTAAAGGCGAGAACACATCAACACCGCTAACGGAAATTGCTAATAATCAGAGTACAGTGTGGCCTGGAATAGGCAGACAGCTAACTTCTGAAACTCTAAAACTAACTTCCGAAACTCTTATAGCACTTCATTCTACATTAATCTGAATAAACTCTCAGTTACATTCTGACATGAAAAGCGTGGGTGAAAAGAGAGTATAAGGAAAGACGTTTCAACTTAAAATGAACTATTAGATAAAAAAATAGATCAACCTCGTAACATATAATAATTAGAACACAATTAGATCTCTGACTCACTCTGATCTGTTTTGTAACGGCAACAAGCTAAAGGCGAGACACATAACACCGCAACGAAATTGCTAATAATCAGAGCACAATGTGGCCTTAAATGGCAGACAGCTAACTTCTGAAACTCTAAATACTTCCGAACTCTTATAGCATTCTCTACATTAATCTGAATAAACTCTCAGTTACATTCTGACATGAAAAGCGTGGGTGAAAAGAGAGTATAAGGAAAGACGTTTCAACTTAAAATGAACTATTAGATAAAAATAAATAGATCAACCTCGTAACATATAATAATTTTAGAACACATATTTAGATCTCTGACGTCAGGAAGAGCTCTGATCTGTTGTAACCGGCGAAACAAGCCTAAAGACGAGAACACATCAACACCGCTGACGGAAATTGCTAATAATCAGAGCACAATGTGGCCTGAAATAGGCAGACAGCTAACTTCTGAAACTCTAAAACTAACTTCCGAAACTCTTATAGCACTTCATTCTACATTAATCTGAATAAACTCTCAGTTACATTGACTGAAAAGCGTGGTGAAAAAAGAGTAAAGAACGTTTCCACTTAAAAGAACTATAGATAAAAATAGATCAACTCGTAACATATAAATTTTAGAAATATTTAGATCTCTGACGTCAGGAAGAGCTCTGATCTTTGTAACCGAAACACGCCTAAAGGCGAGAACACATCACAATACTAACGGAAAGGCTAATAATCATAGCACAATGTGGCCTGAAATAGGCAGACACTAAACTTCTGAACTCTAAAACTAACTTCCGAAACTCTTATAGCACTATTTACATTATCTGAATAAACTCTCAGTTACATTCTGACATGAAAAGCGTGGGTGAAAAGAGAGTATAAGGAAAGACGTTTCAACTTAAAATGAACTATTAGATAAAAATAAATAGATAAACCTCGCAACATATAATAATTTTAGAACAAATACTTCGATCTCTGACGTCAGAGCAATAATGTTTCATTAGAATTCAAAGACAAAAGAAGCAATGCCACATGGCTCACAAATACAAAACTGCGTAGTTAAATT